GCCGGGGGGGGGGGCCTTCTTTTTAGGGGGGGGTTTTTTTCGGTGGGGGGGGGGGGGGGAAGCAAAAAAGTTTTAGCCAAGTTTTTTTTTTTTTTTTTTTTTGCTCGTTTGTTTGTTTGCCCAAAGGGGCCCAAAAATTTTTTGGGGGGGGGGTATTTGGGGTTTCCCCCCCCCCCCCCCCGATTTGTGTTCCTTTTGAAAAGGGACGGGGGGTCAATGGTCAAATGATTTCGGCAAGCAACAAAGGGGTACCCCCCCCCCCCCCCGATTGGCCATCGGTGATCGGTCCTGTGGGAACAATGCTCCGTCCTCTCGAGGACGCGTGGTCAATGGTCTAACCGCTAAGGCATGCAAAACATAAGGGTACCCCCCCCCCCGACATAAACCTCCTTTTCCATCCCTTCGCGTATGCATACCGTCCCTCTCGCATTGCCTGCCATATGCATCGTATGCTACGGGGGTGGCGGCTACTTGGCGACGCGTGTGGGTCGTTCGTTTTGGCATTGTGATTGGCCTTCATCAGGCGAGCGAGTCCATGCTCGGCTTCCTCTTGGAGCGGCTCGGCAAGCTCCCCGTCGGGCACGCCAAGTTCGCCGGCAAGGGCGTCGAGGCTCGGGTTTGGAACCTGGACCTGGAAGGGGTGCACGTGAAGCGGGAGAACGTCGACCTCGTCATGAAGGGTTTCCGTCTACCCAAGAGGTGCGTCTACCGTTGCGTGTGGTATGATTTTTCGAGCGTGTGTTTCTTCGTGTGTTGCCAGTGTTGCCACGTGTGTGCGTGTTTTTTTTTGTTTCTTTTATCAGTGGCATCAACCTCGCCACTGCTGTAGCCGGTTGACCACGTGTGTACCCTTTTGCGCGGCGGCCACGAGATGATTAACCTTTTTGCTGGTTTCTCCCACCGTGGATTTTTGTTGCGCCATGGCAGAGGCACGGCCGTGATGACCAAGTTCGGGCCAGGAAACATCAAGCGGTACAAGAAGCGGTCTCGGTGCTTTGTGGTGAACCTGGACTGGAGGCTGGGCTCCGGCAAGCGCGTCAAGGCCTACCTGCAGCCGAACGACATCGAAATTCTCGAGGTGCGTCTATACCCGAATGTATTGCTAAGAAACCTCTCCCGCGTTTGGAACACATGAGCTTGTTGTCGGTGGTGATAGTTGGCTGGTGTCGCCGTTGAAGGCGACAATGAACCATAAACGTCACCATCAATAAACGGGGGATAGTCCGGAGAGATGTGCAATATATGTGTGTGTTCAGACCCTCGTGGTTCCACCGCGTTTTTTTTTCTCTGGGTTTGTTGTACCCCCGAGGTTTTCTCAAGAACAGGACAGACGGTGCGTGACAAGCCTCTGAGATATGCCCTGCCGCCTGCGATGACTCGCACCTCGCCTTGCGGCACAAGCTGTAAACCCACACGACGCCCACCTGTTGCCCCCCCCCCCCCCGCGCTTTTTTCCAATGAACGACAATGCGCTATGTTAGGGGCACGAGGGGCGTTTGAGCGACGAAGAGGAGGTGAAGGAGAGCGGGCACACAAAAGTGACGGTCGACACCAGCGAAGCCGACGCATCGACCCTCGCGCCAGAGGAGCCCGGTGGGAGCAAGAGCGGCGGTGGAGACTCCTATTTGTCGCCGCCTCGCCGCGAACACAGCAACGCTGGCAGTAGCACCAGCAGCGCGCCGTCTCTCCCGCCGCCGCGTGCGGAAAGAGGGGGAAGGTGGCCTTCCTTGCCCAGGATTTGGAACCGGCGGAAGAGCGCGGGGGCGCCGCAAGCCGCAGCATCGGCGGAACTCGGTCCGGTCGGGGTCGGGGTCGGCGACGGGGGTGGGGGTGAGAGAGTAGTCGCCGCCGCCGGCAAGCCGGGCGGCTCGGGGGGGAAGACGATGGCCCGGCGCACGGCCTCGGCCCCTGTGTTGTTGCTGCCCTCGACGACGGGGGCGCTGCCGCAGCAGCAGGGGGAGGGGGATCCGTCGGCGCGGGTTGTGTCCACGGAGCCCCTCGGAGAGGATCTCTGCTCGAGCGCTTTCGCCCGCGAGGCCGGACAGGCGGAGACGACATCTTCTTCTGTGTCCTCCTCCTGGCGGGAAGCGGCGGGGACGACGACTTGTCACCCTGCCAGGGAAAATGCGCCGCCGAGGAGCAGAATTCTCGACGACGGCGACGACGGCGTGGCCGAGGACGGCCGTGGGTTTGGAGAGGTACACCGTCGCACGGAGCGGATCAACAGCCAGGGGCCCATCACCGGCCCCAATTCGGCGGACGTGATGTCGGCGCCGTTCCTCGTCGCGCGGATCTCGGGCGTGGGCGCGGAGCTCAAGGACATCATGTGGGCGGTGAAGCAGACGCACTTCCCGTACCTGCGGACCCAGGGTAGCCTCCAGGCGACGCTGTCGGGCCTCACCATCGAGCTCGAGCTGGACACGCAGGAACTCCCGGCGGGACAAAGAAAGAAGCCGCAGGGTGGCGGTAGCGGTAGTGGTGGTGCTGTCGGCGAAAGCGACAGCGGCGGCGGTATCGACAGAGGTGGCAGCGGTGGCAGCCCGACGGGGCTGAAGCTCACCCGCTTGAGGGTGTCGGTCCTGGCGGTGAAAGTCCACGTGAAGAACAACGCCCTCAGCGCCGTGTACAACCTGGCGGCCTCCGCCTTCGAGGCGGCCGTGAAGCGCCACGTCGTCGAGAATGTCGAGGCCGCCGTCCGCAAGAACGTCACCTCGCTCCTCACCATCATCAACACGCAGCTCAGCGAGAAGTGGAACGTCTTGTGCAAGGTCGGGGGCGGGAACGGAAGCAGGGGCGGCGGCGGCGGCGGCAGTGGCGGCGGGGGCATGGAAGGTCGTCGCAGAGGCAAGCGCGTCTCTCCTCGCGGTGTCGAC